AAAATATTTCACTGATTCTTTTTAGCTGCTGGTGGCAGCCTTGTGTTAAAGAGCAATGGGAGCTCTTGGCATTTTGAGTGCTATGTTGATTTAGATCAATTCAAAACATGATGAGACATTAAATTTTCACCTGTGCATTGTCGCTATGTTTATACCAGGCCCTCGTGGTATTTATGCACATATGGTCTTTAAATGCCTCATGGAAAAGTAGCTCTTATTTTGTCAAAGAGGAAAGAGAATGATAATAATTGATAATTAAGCGATTGGTTGGAGGCCATTTGTAATGCTTTTAAGTCCTAAATAGTGATTACTCAGAAATGGAATGTTTGGATAAGCACACGGGGCAAAGACTGTGTAAATTGCAATGCAGATGCCGGCAGCCCTGTTTGCCTGGGCAGACCTTCATAGGAAATCTGCATGTGCACAGGTGAGCACATGGCCCCTGTGTGGCATGAACAGCCTGGCTTTTACTCTTTGAGTTGCATCACCTCCTAGCTACTCCTAAGAACCACAAATTCCCTCTGCTTGGGTCTCACAGGACCCTCCCATGGGAAGGGTCCTGTGCTGGTACAAGATGACAGTCCCTTCCTGAGCCCTTGTGTACCCACAGCAGCAAGGCCAAGTGTTGATGGCTCTCCCTGATCCCCGAGGGGAACCGAGGCAGTCACACCCTCAGCTGCTCCCTTCAGGTCCTCCAAGCTCCAAGAGAGGGGACATCACAGCACAATCCTGCCCCTCCACAGCTCCAACAGCGAGGGGACATCTCAGCACAATCCTGCCCCTCCACAGCTCCAACAGCGAGGGGACATCTCAGCACAATCCTGCCCCTCCACAGCTCCAATAGAGAGGGGACATCTCAGCACAATCCTGCCCCCCTGCAGGGCTCTGAGCTGGCTTACTGGGGCACAGCTGAGCTTTGGGCTGCAATTAATTCTCAAAGGCTGAGATGTAATCCCAAAGTATTTCTATTTATTATCCATTATCCAATATTTCTAAATATTATCAACTCTCTTGTAGGCAGCCAAGTAGGAAGTTCTGCAGAACCTCCTCAACATGAGACCAGTGTTGTGTGTGAAGATTTCTGCAAAGCTGAAGGGGAAGGTGCTGCCTCCCCAGAGAAGGCAGCTGTGTATTCTGCAAACATCTGCATAGAGTATTGCCATTATCTATGGTAATGGATCTCCAGACTCCTGCTAGTGGCAATCGTGTTGGTATGTCTGAGCTCTTTGCCAGTAAAAGCTGCTGTCTGTCCCTGTCCCTGCCCTACTCTGACAAATTTCATTAGCATGAGCAAGTTTGCATCCCATTGGTAATATCACTTGATTTCAAACGTGGTATTTCTGAATCAGTTTAGCAGGAGATTTTCAACCAAGCATTTAATGAATAATAGATAGAAACAGAAAGAAGGCAGCTTAAGAATTTTTAGATAAAATTAAACTAGCAGCTGTTAAATATTGTAGCAGTCATTACATTCAGAAGTCATCTGCTACCTGTCCAGGAGACTTACACATTTTATGTGTAATGGAAATGAGATTTGGTTTAATCCTGTCACACCATGATCAATTTGTGTCTCTGGGAGCTCAGCATTTGACACCATCTTTCTGCAGTGCCATTTGCTTCAATGCAATGCAATTAATAAACCAGCAGTGTATAAAGATGTCATTTGCAGCTCAGAATGGTAAAAAGTATTCAAATCAGTAAAGGCAGATGTATCAGTGGATGATAAAACTCAATATTTTCTATTTTTAGAGCTCCATCATAGGTCATGTATTCTTTTTGTCCTAATGACAGCTTGCCAAGTGTCTTTATTTGTTGACATGAAGCTGGAAAAAGCAATGCCATAGAAATAGACTATTTCATATTTTTGAAGTATTTGTGTAGAGATATATATGTTATATAGAAGAAAATAAGTAGCATATATTATACTAATACATAATATTCTGTAAGAACTAAGACTGGAAATAATTCTGAGCACATATTTATCTCATTGGGATGGGATTGTGCCCCATCTGTGGTGCAGAATGCTGTTACAGTGATCAGAAATACTTAGATTGAGAAGGAAGCCTGCAGAAAAGTTACAGTTTCTTTTTCTGACGTTCATGAGAATTAGCCCTTGAGAATGGCATTTTGCCTGGCTGCAGGGGAGGCTTGGCAGGACTCTGCAAGCTGCCAGTGGCACTGATATTCCCAGTTCTGACTGGAGAGCTTGCTGCCAGGCCACGTGTTAAATGCAGCTGAGTCAAGAGCCTTGTCCTACAGCAATTCAGGGAACAGAGCACATTCCTGTCTGTCTGCTCTCCATCTTCTGCCTGCTTGGTCTGCTCTGTGAGATAGGCTGACAACAGGACTGTCCAATGCTCAGAAGTTCTGGGATTTTAAAATTTATCCTCAGGTCTGTGGTGGGGGAAGTCTTCACATTTACCCAAAGAAAAGAATAATTAAGAACCTGAAATATTCAAGGTGGGGTAGGGGAATTGGTGGGGGTGTGTGTTATAAAACAGGAAATTTAAAAACATTTTTGTACTGTCTGCTCAAACAAACTTTCTAAACTTTCCACTGTTAATTGGAAAATGCTTGGGAATGATAAATGGATAAGGATTCAAATACTTAGATATCAAACAATTACATTTGTTTGGTGAAAAAACCCCACAAATATATATATATGTGTGTGTGTCTGTGTCTGTGTGTGTCTTTGTCTGTGTGAGTGTGGGTCCAACAGGCTTTGTCCATGCTAGAAATGTTTGTGGACTTCTTCAGGTAGATGTATGGGAGGCATTAATGCTTGAATGTTTATTTACAGATTTTTACCATTTTTCCTCTGGGAAGCTTGTTTGGTGGGCTCAGGCTGCAATGTCAGTCCCTACATACACAGGCCAGAAACAAAGGGCTCCAGGAGGGCTCTGATCATGTGTGGTTGTGGTTCTAAATCAGTTATTAGACACATTTACATAAAGGTGACAATTTTGTTTCTGGTTTTATTTGGTTAGAGAAAAACTCATGAACAGTGTCATCACTGGTAGAGCAAAGTAGGACTCACACTATGCCATGAAAATGAACAATCAATGATAGTCAGCGCCTAAAAGGGGTTCACAAGTCAAACTTGAATATGGTTCAATGAAACAATTGTCTGGTGAACAAAAAACTGTAGGATTTCTTGATGAATGGATATAGCAACTGTATTTGGAGTGGAGGGGATGAAATATTTGGTTTAGGAAAAGATTGACAAAGAGAATTTTAATGAAATTTCTACTGAAAGAAAAATATAGAAGAAAAATATGTATCTGTATAATATTAAAATTGACTACACTTGAAGATTTAGACGTAAACTAAGTAGGAGGATTTTCAGTCTTCAAACCTCTGCCTCACCAACAGTCCAAGAAAGAGCTGGAACTGTGGTTACAGCAACTGTTATCACAGAGAAAGTGAAGGCTGAGAAATGCAGCCAGGTGTGCTGGCCAAGTCTCAGGGCAGACAGACAGCAGAGCGCTGGGTTTGTGTGCAGGTGGCGGGTGAGTGTAGAGCAGCAGGCAAGAACAAGGACAGATAAATGAGATGTGCGATCATGATCTCTGGAGGCAGACTGATACCAAGCAGGGCTGTGATAGGAATTATCAATGCAGTGCAAGTCCCACTCTGTTCTTGCACAGGACAGGAGGGTGAAAAGGGGAGGGAATTCATGGCTACCCTGTGGTGAAAAACTGCTCATAAAGGACCAAGAGCCTTTTATCAATGTACTACAGAGGCTTTGCTGCAGCAGCCAAGAGTTCCTGTGGCACACAAAACCCAAAGATGAACGGGAACGTTTCTGAAAGACACACATAAGGTAGTAAAAAGAAAGAAAAAAGGTAAGGTAGTAGAAAAATCTGGGTGACCTGCATAGCTGCAAGAGTTCTGGGAAGGAAGATACAACATGAATTCTGTAATTTCAGAGCTCTCAGCAGAATGTGAATTCTAAGGCAATAATTGTCATTTTCTGACTCGGTAGTCCAGAAACCATACTTTTATATAAACGACCAGAAACCTGTCGATTTGTAGAATCCAATGACCTTGGCATTTACCCTTTTCTGTTTCACAGCCTTCTCCAAACTCCTCAGCCTGTGCCTGGTGCTGCAATCCCGGAGAACCCAGTGAGTGAGTTTCTCCGCTTGCCTGGCCTAGGCTGTCTCGGGAACGCGGTGCTGAGCCCCGAGAGGAGCAGGCCGGAGAAGAACAGTGGGTCTGGTGCTTGAAAAGGAATGGAAGAGCAACTCCAGGGGAAGGGAGATCGGAAGTGGCAGCGTCCCTTCTCCCTGCAGCGGCCGGGGATGCTGCGCTCCCCCGGGGGTACATTCCCCAGCGCCGTTTGAGGCTGCTCAGCTCCATAAATGCCATTTGCATGGGGATAGGATGTAACAAGAGCTGTAAATCACTGACGGCGGAGTGAACTCCTCAGGGGCAGACACGGCGGAGCCGAGCCTCCGCGAGCTGGGGCAACGTGTGAACGATATCTTTTGTTGGGGGGGAGGTCTGATAGCAATTAGATGATACTTATCTGGCCCTTTGATGTGTATTTACACAAACAACGTTTTCCTCCTGGAGTTGCGCTATAAAGGAGAGGCCTGTACTCCGAGCCTCCTTCCCCGCATCTCTGAAGCGAGGCACGATGACTAAGGCCCCTTTCTCCGTGGAATGGTTGTCCCAGAGCAGCCAAACTCTCAAGAGCCCCACCGAGGGCTCTCCACACCGAGCATCGTCCGCGGACCACGGGCCCGGCTGCGGCTCCAGCCTCGGCCAGAGCGAGCGGAGCCCGGAGCAGCCGGCGGGCCCGCGGGACGGGGACGGGACGGGCGGCCGGAGCCGGGACAGCGGGGCGGCCACTCCCGCCGCAGGTACCGCGGGGCCGCCGGGGCTCCCGGGCGGGGGCGGCGGGGCTGGGACACCCCCGGGCCTGCCCGGAAAGGCACCGGTGCTCGGGGGCGGAGGGGGCGGTGAAGTACGTGAATGAGGCTAGTTGGCCGATGATGATGATGATAGGGCGTTCTACTGGCTGGCTGCCTACTCAGGTGAGGATGAGGACGTTGGCGACTAGGGTTCAGAATAGGATTTGTGACAGGGGACGGAAGGTTATTGATCGTAGTTTTGATGTGTGTAGTAGTGGGGTGAGAAATAGGACGAGAATTGAGGCGGCTAGGACTAATACGCCTCCTAGTTTGTTTGGGATGGATCGGGCCGGGCTGACCCTTTGCTCCTCTTTGTCCCTGTGCCCAGGAGCCGGCGGGACAACAGCAGGCGGGAGGCCGTCGGGAGCGGTGCCGGAGGACGGTCCCGAGAGCGCGGGCCCCGAGGAGCCGTGCGGGCGCGGCGGGCGGCGGCTGCGCACGGCGTTCAGCGCGGAGCAGATCAGCACCCTGGAGAGCTCCTTCCAGCGGCAGCAGTACCTGGGCGCGGCCGAGCGCCGGCAGCTGGCGGGCAGGATGCGCCTCTCCGAGGTGCAGGTGAGCGGGGATGGCCGCGGCACGGCTCCAAACAACCAGATAACCAAGCCTCGGTGGCGTTGTAACTAACCTCGTCTTTTCTCCTTCCCCTGTGCCCTTCCCCACCAGATCAAGACGTGGTTTCAGAACCGCCGGATGAAGCTCAAGCGGCAGCTGCAGGAGCTGAGGACGGAGCCCTTCTGCAGCCCCGCTCTCCCTTACGGACCTCAGGGCGCCGTGCTGCCCCTGCCGCTCACGTACGTGGCCCGGCCACCGCCTCTGCCCCGGCAAGGGGCCGCACCTGAGGGCTTCCCTTTGGCGGCCCTGCCCGCACCCGCCCTGGACCTCAGCAGCGCCTGCAGAGCGCAGCCGGTCGGCTTGTGGGCAGCGCCCTGCTTCGTGGGGTACCGGGACCCCAGGGCCTTCCTGCTCGGTGTCTGACCCTCTGACACCAACCAGGACTAAAGAGGATTTGCACTACTCACGGATCTCTGGGCTGCCCTCGTCCATAACTGCTTGGTGGAGTTATGATGCAGCACCGACGTAAATATTTACAAAGGGATGCCGGACAATCTGAATCATGGACTTCTGGCCCTTGCATTTATAGGCAACTGTAAAATGAAAAATACAAACGGGGTAGGACAAACAATAATATAAATGGAATCTTTTAATAAACTTGATTTTTTTTCCAGCTTTCACGTGAATTCCTTTGTTAAGGATTGTAGAGGTATTCATCCTGCCCCGAAAGAAAGCTCCTCTTCACTTAAAGAAGCATAGACGCCTTCTTATCTAGATTTGTTCTGCCCCATCTGCAATTTATTCTGCCACTGAATGTAAAAAAGTGTGAATTTCCCTCTGTCTTCTAAAGCAGGTATCCAACCCTGTCATGAAACTGTGCTTTTAGCCAAATATGTGGATACATCTGTTACTCAATACTGGGCTTGCTATAGTAGCAGAACAGATAGTCTAAATATTTAAAAAATTACTTTCTAAATAAGCATGATGTTATATTTTCACAATTTTATGGGCTGCCTCAGTAGATTAGTAAGACCTTCTTACCTAAACAGATCCTGGAAAGGATCTTGAAATTTCTTATCTACAAAACAGTATCTGGTCATCTTACATGCAGTTATCAGGGTGATGATCAAAAGAATTTTAGCATTCCAAAGCTGGTTTTCCGTAAGAGGCAGTAAAATTCCTTACTGTGCTATGCACTTTTAAAATTTGGATAATGAGCTAGTAAACTGATGATCAAAATGGCTTGATTTCAGGCCCGAAAAAGGGCTCTGAGAAATTATCTTTGACTGTAAGTTGACATAAATCTTTCAAAGCCAATTGTCAACTAACATGAAAAGAGCAATAAAAATTTCCATGACTTTAGATGTGATCTGGGGGGTTACCAGGATATTTCCGGTACACTGGTAATTTAAACTCCTGTAATGAATGGTCTGAGGGTTCTCTGTCACCCTCCTTGAATATCTTTTGTATATAGAGGCCAATCTCCCACTCGAGTACCCTTCCCTGGTGAAAACAACATTATGAGCTGCTGTGGGCACTGGGCTTTGCAGTCACCTCTGCAAGTCTTGATTTTTTTGTAATCTATGTTGTATTTTTCTAGTCTTTTGAGAGAATAGTATCTGTTTGCAATTGCACAAGTTGTGTGTCTCAAATGCAAGAATTTCAGCTAAATTAAAAAGGGCTGAGGTGCTATCAATCTTGATGAGGTCTCAAGGAAGTTTGTTGACACATAAGTGAATTTCCCATTTGATGGAGGTTTATTTCTCGAAGTCAGGTATCATTAAACGGTAATATCGATTTGAAGAAATCTCTCTGACACTTTCAAACATCATCGGGGAACTGGGGTGTCTCCACAAAGAGCTGCAATCGTGAATATTTTCCTCTGCTCTAAAGCAGTCGTGTTTAAAATAACAAAGCAGACAAGGCCAATAAATGTACAGCTTATCGTAAAAAGCATTAGACTCCATGTGGCTATTCTGTTTTCAAGGGAGTAATGGTTGAAGGGTTAGGAGTTCCCTTTATAATCTCGTATGGCCACAGAAGAGAGTCCCACCACTTCTCCAAATGCTCTGCTCAGCTCGTAGGAAAGGAATAATGGAAATAACCCCTCCTGCTCTCAGAGGGCAGAGCGGCGGTACGGGAAGCTGGGGGTGGAGGGAGGGAGCGCTCCCTGGGGGCCCCGGGACTGCCCGCAGCGATCCGGGAGCGCCGCACGCACCCCGGGCCAAACGGGGGAGGTGGAAGGGAAGCGGGCACGGGCAGCGCCGCAGCTGGGCCCGGGGAAAGTGAGAGACAGATGGAAAGGCTCGGGTGGAGAGAGCGAGAACAAAGCGCTCCCACCTGCGCTGGGGAGCTGCTTCCTGGGAGGGGAGCTGCGGGGATGGAGTTCGTGCTCGGGGTTGGATGAGGGTGTCACACCAATGCTAAAGAGGGAGAGGCGGAGCACTCCCTTATGTCTCCGGGAAGAAGTGATCTGGGGTGGCTCTGAATAAGCCCTCATCCCCTGGGTCTGCCCTCCCTGCTCTCGGGCTCGAACGCGGTCCCAGCCTGCCCTGCCCTGCCCGCCCCCGAGCTCGGCTCCGGCGGTGTCCGGAGCGGGGCAGCAGCTTCCCCTCCCCTCCGTGCAGAGGTTTAGGGCCAGGCAGAGGCAGCCGGTGCTGCCGGGCACAGCACACAGTGCTGCCGTCCTTGCCGTGACTCAAGCCCGCGCGGGGACAAGCGGGGCTGCGAGGCCGAGGGACACCAGCCCCGGTCGGTCTCGGGGATGGAGCCGAGCGGGCCCGGGCGGGTGTGCGGCTCCCCCAGCTCTGGCGGGGCTGGCGGGTTTCGTGCCAGGGCCAAGCGCTGATTAGCGGCACTAACGGGGCATCCCAGCTCCGGGCGTACGAGCTGCAGAGCGGCTGGCGAGACAGAAGCCGATCTCTGTTAGAAAAGGTGCTAATGGTCACTTAACATAATGACTCCTTGGGCACAGGTATGTTCAGCAAGCGCATGAAATACCTTGCCAGTGTTATGGCAGGGCTAGCTTCCAAATACTGTTATGTTTCCCGGTAATTGCTGAAATGAACGCGAGAGGTGATGAGTCCCTAATGGTATGAGATTCCTCCAAATGTCTACATGATAATTTATCTCCCACCTGCAAAAATCGGCTTTCTCTAGAAGGCAACTACTACTTTCCACTTGTCTAGAAAGCTTTATGTGAAGTAATTTCATTTTTGCTAAAGCCGTCCAACTCTAGCATTAAAATATGAATGCACTTTTTTTCCTTTGATCTGAGAAGAAGAAACGCGGGCTTCAGGCTTTCTTCCTGCTTGTTTGAATTTCCCCTTCACTGTGTTTTAGCCCTGTCAGCAGTGAAGGGGCACTAGCGTCAGTGACACCTGCACGGTACCGGCCCCTCGCAGGAGACGGGAGCGCTCCGGCCCCGCAGCCGAGCCCCGGGCAGCGCGGCGGGGAGCAGCCGCCTTTGTGTCCTCAATAACCGCAACAACCCAGCCCCGGAACGCTCTCCGGCAGCACAAAGCGGTGTGGGCAAGTGAGCTACAAATGGGAAGAGAAAAAAAAAAAAAAAAAAAAAAAAAAAAAAAAGAAAGAAAGAAAAAGCGAGTCGATTAGCTGGGGAGGAGTAGTTTAATGCTCGCGGGGTGAAATTGTCGGAACCCCCCGGCCCGGCGGCTCTCGAGGAAGAGGCTGTATAATCTGGAAACTGGGCTCCCCGGGGAGGAAAAGGGGGTGGGAGGGGAAAATTGCCAGAGCGCTGACTTCAAAGGCCTTGTCCCCTGCAGTGCGTGCGCGGAGGGGGCGACACCTGATTGAATTCACACCGCGGGGCGGGGGAGCCGCCGGCAGCCGCGCGCGGAACGCCCGTCCCAATTTGGCCAAAGCGGCCATCAGGGAACTGGGAATGGGACCGGGGTGTGTCACCCCCCTGCAGCTCCCAGACATGGTGGAGCCACTCCAGGGACCTCTGTACAAACTGGGTGAAGTTATTCGGCGTTGTGTGCTAATCGAGAGAGATCTCGCACTGTTAGGCCATTACATCTAATTGCTGCCCATTATCTCTTTCTTTGATACTCAATTAGACGACAATTAACTGGATAAATCCCACCGTAGTGGGGGGGGAGAAGAAAGAGGGACTTGGTCTCGACATGTTCCTTGTGTAGATTTTACTACTTTTCCTTTATACTTGTGTCTTAAACTCCTAGGCTTCGACCTAGTGTTATCCTCTAATAGTACCTAGTAAGGAGCTAATCCCAGTGTCTCTTCGGTATTCAGGTAGACTAAGTGCTTTAATTCTTATTTCAGCTCCTAGTTATTCTGTCTGGGTAATTCTGAACAACTGAGGAGGTGTCACAGGCACTGGAGCGATGGGGCGCATAGAAATTCAAGTGCTAGTTTGTTTCGAGCTAACTTGTTAACTTATCTAGGTGCTTTGTCCATTAGTTCTGCAAAGCACGCAGAAATATTTCCCTGATAAATCGTTTTTAATGCAAAGCGCGTTTGCTCCCACAGCGGCTGAATGGGGGTATCTGGGCTTGCAGCGTGAGCCGGGAGGGAAGAGGGTGAAGCGCTGCGGGCTGAGTCAGTAGCATTTGTCATTTATTGTGTGTTAGCCCGCATTGTTCCCGTGGGCAAAGGAGCGGCGGGGTGATGGCCCTGTTAGTGTTCACGGGTACTTCAAACAGAAAAGCATCTATTCCCAAACAATCGATCTCGTTGATGCCTAATTGACTATCTAATAGCACCTATCAGGACATCAAAGGAGACGCTGAATAACCGAGTTAGCATTTCCAAAGGGGAGCAGCGGAGGGTACAAACAGCCATCAGCTGTCCCACCGGCCGGAGCCCAGCCCGGGCCCTGCGGCTGCCTGCGGCCCCTGGGCCCCCTCTGGAGCAGAGCAGACTGTCCTGCCTTGCCTGCACTTCTAGCCGTGTTAAAACCCCGTTCCTTAAAAAGAGTTTACTTGCCTCTGAAGGGCTACTACGCTTCCCCAGGCTCTCTCCTCCTGCCCATTTGTGCAGCTAACTATGGAGGGTTTTGTGATGTTCCAGTGTTGGAGTCTTTTTGGTTTGGGTTTGTTGGGTTTTTCGCTTTCTCATAGTGGAGTGGTTGGCATTGCACCCCCTATAGTCTCCACTCCTCCAGTGTTGTCAATAATACTTTGGAAAATCGGTGCTTTACATAAATATAATTAGGATCTGGCTATGATGGAGCCACTGTCCCAGATCTGGTGGCCTAGTATATCAACTCTCAATCTATGACAAATGTTATGATAGTTTGGTCTGTATATCGTTTTGGGGATTTAGTTTGGGTCTGTTTTTTGGTTTTTATTTTCCCCATGGTCTACTTACAGACATGGCTAGCAGGTAGAAAGTTTGCAACTTGAAGATTTGCCCAACTATCCTAGTAATTTTTCTCCTTGAGAAAGACTATTTTTCTGTTGGCAAAATATGTCCCCTTTTTCTTTATGTTTTCATACAAAATCAATGTGATGGTCTGCTGTTGGCACACCAACAGCATTCCTGGGCAACAAAAGTGCTTCAGCATCTGGCAAAGGATGAGTATCTAGTGTCTTGCAGCCTGAACAATGGGCTGGATCT